CTAGTGTTAAAGAATCCACCATGGTACCAGATGCCCTGTAATTTTTTTTGCTTGTTCTAACAAAAATTAATTTTTAATTTTTAAAAATGCTGTAATTTTTTAAATGTCTATCTCACTGCTATACTTTTTAAGTTCACAGTTCTTTAAAGAAAATGTCATTTATGCAAATGATCACTTCAGCTAAAATTGTTTAAAAGAAGTTTAAGATTATAATGGGTCTAGATTATAAAGTAGCTCACTATTGTTATATTAACCAAAATTTTAATTCAAGTAAGTATTTTGCAGATGTTAAATATGCTAGTAAAAACCATTATAAATATAACTTTTGGCCAGGCGCAGTGGCTCATGTCTATAATCCCAGCACTTTGGGAGGCCGAGGTGAGAGCATTACCTGAGCCCATGGGTTTGAGACCAGCCCGTGCAACTTGGTGAGACCTCATCTCTACAATAAATCAAATAATTAGGCGCATGTGGAGGTGCATGCCTGTAGTTCCAGCTGTTTGGAAGGCTGGGGTGGAAGGATCAACTGAGCCCAGTAGGTGGAGGTTGTGGTGGCTTGAGTATGCCATTGCATACTAGCCTGGGTGACAGAATGAGACTTCGACTCAAAAAAATAAAAAATAAATAAATAACTATAACTTTTATATGGTAAAAGTTAAGGATGAGTAACAACCATCATTCTTTTAACATGGAACATTTTTAAAATGTTAATATTAACAGTAGTCAGCAAAAATAGAAAAAGATGCCTACACAGGGCTATTCATTGTAATCCTCTTTGTGATACGTTTGGAAACTACCCAAATGCCCATCAATAGTTTGAATAAACTATGGTTCAATCACACAATGGAGTACTATGTAGTAAAAAAACAAAAAAATGAATGAAGACTATTGCTAGATACTACTAGGGAGTGATGGACAGGATATTTTTAAAAAGCAAGGTTGGAAAAAAGTATGTAAAGATACACTACTGTTTAAGAAAAAGTGAGAAGACAAAAATATTCGCTTATAATTTTTAAATGTAATGATAAACCATAACGTTTTACACTATGGCTAAAACTGAGAGGAAAGGACAAGGCTAGAAGGTAGACTTCTTTGAATATACTTTGCTTTTTAGATTTGAATATCAAGGCCAATATTTTATATAATTTAAATAAAACAACAGGAAAAAAATTTTAAATTCAAACATTAAATGAAGTAAACTAACCATACATTCAGTTAGCATATAGCCACACCTAGAGAAGAAATATTGCAAATAAGCCTGAGAGACAGTAATCTGACTACACATCTCTGAAGGATTTTTTTTTCTTTTTTTAGAAATGAGGTCTCGCCAAGTTGCCCAGGCGGGTCTCGAACCTGTGGGCTCAGGCAATCCACTCACCTCAGCCTCCCAAAATGTGGGATTACAGGCTGAGCCACCAAGCCCGGAGGATTTTTTTTTTAACTGAAAAATATTAAACTGTTTTCAATAATCATATTATTGGGAAGTCTTATTATTCTGAAACTCTTGTATAATATAAAGTAAATAAGTAATCTCATGATGGCTTCGAGAGGTAGAATTTTTGGCACTAGGGAAAGGAGACATAAGTAAGAACAACTAAGTTAGTAAAAACCCTGAAGTCCTGAATTTGATTAGGAAGTACCCACTGAACTCACGATATACTTTACTCCAAGAAAAAAAAAATCTTCCAGCTCCATCCCTTGAGAAGACTTAGAAACAATAACCAACCTAGTAGCAATTAGCACCTGTGGTGCCCAACTTATAGTCTTTAAATTCCACTTCTCATGAAAGAAATGAAGCGAAGGAAGAAAGGAAGGGAGGGAGAGAGGGAGAGAAGTTAGCTTGCTCCATGCAGAATTGACTGATTCCAGTTTAGACACTGGAAATATGTTACTCTGTTACTATGCATGCCACCAGAAAGTAAGGAATCTAGCAAAGACTGCTTGTAGAAGGCACCAATTGACCAAAGATAAGATGATATGAGCAACGAAAATGATAATAGCCCAGAAACAGTGGCTCACGCCTGTAGACCCAGCTACTTGGTAATCTGAGGCAGAAGGATCACCTGAGTCTCGGAGGTCAAGGCTGCAGTGAGCGATGAATATGCCACTTCCCTCCAGTCTAAGTGACAGAATGAGACCTCAACTCAAAAAAAGAAAGAGGAAAGAAGGAAAGTAGGGAGAGAGAGAGAGAAAGAGGAAAGAAAAGGAAGGAGGGAGAGAAGGAAAGAAATGATAATAAATGCCATAGTTAGAAACACACCAAATTTGTTAAAAATGCATGAGTATATATTGATACCAAAAAAAAAAAAAAACCTTTGGAGAATGTTATTTTAAAAATTGCTTAGCAAAAAGGAAGAAATCAAGCATTTATTCTGCCTTGGTAATGAAACGTATCTTTATAAAAATATTTCAACCTAATAAATGAAGAATAATAAAATTATAATATCACTACCCTACAATCCCTTTTGAACTAATGGATCTAAGCAAAAATTATCAGTAGCTGCCACAAAAATAAAAAAGAAATAACAGGACACAAATATCCCATAATATACCACCACAAATGTAGTCTTGCCAAAGAAAAATTGTATCTAAAACCTCTGGCTCACACCTGTCTTCCCAGCAGTTTGGAAGGCCAAGATGGAAGAATTACTTGAGCCAGAGAGTTTGAGACTGGCCTGGGTAACACAGCGAGACCTATCACCACAAAAAAATTAAAAAATTAGTCAGGCATGGTAGCACCTATAGTCCCAACTACTGGGGAAGCTGAAACAGGAGGATCACCTGAGCCCAGGAAGTCAAGGCTGTGGTGAACTGTGATCATGCCATTGCACTCCAACCGGGGCAACAGAGACGTTGACTTAAAATAATAATAATAATAACAATAATAATAAAAAGAAATACAAGGGACAGGCATATGGTGAAGCCTACCACAGAGAGATACTTGGCAAAACTCAGACCATAAATAACTCTCAAGACAAAGGACCTACTTTCTTCAACAACAGAAGAGTGAGAGGGATGGAAGAGAAACCAAAATATTCAAAGAGACTTAAGATTTTTAAAAGAGAAATATCATGAGACATATGACAAAAAAGAAAGAAAGAAGTGAACGCCATGACATGAATGACTGCTGAAATGCTATCTTTTATTTATCTAGGCAGGCAGAGCAGAAGGAAGAAAGCGGTGAGTTTAAGATTTTAAAACCCTGACTCGTTAGGTTTAGCATCACGTTTTCATCAATGCTTTTCATCACTATTTTCTCTGTCTCAATTAGGCACTCCTTGGTTTTTTGTTTTTGAGTTGGGGTCTCACTCTGTTGCCCAGGCTGGAGTGCAGTGACAAGATCATGGCTCACTGCAACCTCAACCTACTGGACTCAGGCAATCCTTCCACCTCAGTCTCCCAAGTAGCTGGGACTACAGGTGTCCACCACCATGTCAGGCCAATTTTTTTATTTTTTATTTTTTCTAAAGACAAGGTCGTGCTATGTTGCCTAGGCTGGCCTCAAACTCCTGGGCTCAAGCAATCCTTCTGCCTCGGCTTTCCAAATTACTGGAATTACAGGCGTGAGATACTGCACCTGGCCAGGAAGCTCCTTTTTTTTTTGAATTGGAGTCTCGCTCTGTCACCCAGACTGGAGTGCAGTGGCCGCTCCCGGCCACCACAGCCTCGACCTGCTGGGCTCCGGCGATCCTTCTGCCTCAGCCTTCCAAGTAGCTGGAACTACAGGCGCGCACTACCACGCCCAGCTAATTTTTTATTTATTGTAGAGATGAGGTCTCGCCAAGTTGCCCAGGCTGGTCTCGAACCCACGGGTTCAGGCAATCCACTCACCTCAGCCTCCCAGAGGCGCGGGATTACAGGCTGAGCCACCGAGCCCAGCCTAGAAGCTCCTTTTAAAGGCAGTAACCCTGTCTGACTTGTTCACCATAATGTCCTCAAAATCTAACCAGATGCCTGGTATGAAAGAATAAACCTGAATTCAAGTCCCTGTTCAGCAATGTTGAGCAAGGACTAAGAATGCTCTATTCTGCACCCATTCCCCAGTGCTAGAATTCAATCACTATCTGCGGTAGGAAGGTTGGACAATTTACTTAACCTCCCTGAGCCTTGGGATCCTCATCTGTAAAACAGAAACAAAAAAAAAATCTGTAAAATGGAAACCAAGTTGTTCAGACATACTGTGGCTAAAAGGACTTTATTTGCCCATGCATTCATTCCACAAATATTTATCAATTCTAGCCCTACAAAAAGTATGGAATAATAATCATTCCCATAAAACAGAACAGTAATAATAAAATGATTGAAACATTAGTTAAATATAAATACTCATTCAACAAACATTTATGGTGCTTCTGCTGTATAACAGGCACTGTGCTATGTGCCGGGGATAAGTATAAAGGCAATGTGCTAGAATCCTTGTTTTTGAAGAAGTTTCTGTCAATTGCAGGAGAAGAGAAAGAAAGAGATCACAATATCAGTGGGGAAGTGGCATACAAGAGGGCACCAGGAACATGGCACATTCCCATCAGGGACATTCTACCCAAGGTGGTTTCAGGAAACAAATCAGTTCACTCCACTTCACAAAGTTATCAATCTGGACTCTCAAGTTAAAGACACCAGGTGATGTTTCTCTTTTACCCATTCACTGCACTAAGGCTACTGTATATTCTTTCTAAAGACCCCAGTGCATGCTGGCAATCTTCCAAAGGAATTAGATCCTTTTGTTTTTCTGAGATTTTGCCAGCAGTCCAAATCAAAAGAGGCAAATGGAACTGTTGGCTCATCCATTGAATACTAACTGCCAACTCCCTTCTCTCAGAACACAATGATCCTCTATTTCAAAGAAGCCCCTCCAGCAACTTGTTCCATGTCAATCAATGGCTGGATTAAGAGAGGACGTCAGATTCAAGTCTTTCAGATCTAATTCCAAACACAAGCCCAACTTCTCCTCCATTAAAAATAGGACTTAACTTATGGAAAACAATTTTTTAAGAACTTACCTCAAATTCTTCCCAAAAGCCTTGTTTGACTTTATCTGTGGTCTCAGCTAATTTGCTAAGTTCTCGAACCCGGCTTTCTATTTCAGCAGCATTAATACGAGTTGTGTTGAGGGGCTAATCAAGCAGCAGTTGATGTAAAGAAAATATTAAAGAAAAAGGTGTTAATGCAAAAAAATAATAAGGCTTTTATGTTAATATTCATAAAAGCAAGAATCGAATTCACAGAACCCAGTAATTCACAGTAAAACCCAGTAATTCACAGTAGTTTCACTTTGTTTTCTGTTCTGCCATGAAATGTATCTTTCATCAATCTCCACACACACTTTACTCTGCTGACATAAATTCAAAACTATTTCTTTATGAACAGACCACATTATTTAGAGAGATGATGTCATGTGCCACTATCATAAAGGTGAACTTTGAAATAGCAACAACTCCAAAGTGAGTAAGTGTGGTCGCCCAAAAGGAACCAAATGTGGATCTATGATGAAAGCTTGCTTTAAAAACTCTATAAGGAGCCGGGCTCGGTGGCTCAGCCTGTAATCCAGCGTCTTGGGAGGCTGAGGTGAGTGGATTGCCTGAGCCTGCGGGTTCGAGACCCGCCTGGG